CCAAAAACTTCAGTTAAAATTAATGAGAGGGATAAAAAATAGAAAATCACAGAAATTTTAGAGTAGAATTTCCCAAAATTTTCATTACACTGCCAGGAAACAGAAACTCCTCCAAGTTGGTGGAGGCTACCTTGGCTCTGCTGGCCATGTTGTAAGACAAGATACACGGCTTTGGCATTTCCCCATTTTCCATCTCTCTGCGTTTTCCAAAAAGAAACTGAAAGCTTTATTTCTTTTGAATGAGGAAAGCTTGTACCCAAGAGCTGTTGGAGGTACTGCACTCATTTTCCTGTCTCTTGGGTCTCTGTATGCTTGATGACGACATTCCAAAACCCGTTTCTTTCAGTCTCTTTAAGTACTAAGAGCACCTGGAAGAAGCTCAGTCCATGTATTTACACTTGAACTAAGGAGTAAATGGCTGTGGAGGAGCTCAGTACTGCTCTCACTGCCCAATGAGTCTTTACAAAGACACTGTCTTGCTGAGAGGTGCCAGGCCCTTAGAAGTGGCTTCATGTGCTGGCTAGTTACGAATGAGAAAAACACATCACTGACCTTCCCCTGAAATCGAAGGAAATTTTCAGGCTAGATAAAAAATTAATTTCAACTATTTTAGCACTGGACATTAAAAAGTGTAAGTGTGGACAGAGCCTGAGGCAATATAAGGCATTCTCCTTTTATAAGCAGAATGTAATATCCTAAAGCTCTTGAGAAAATCTGCATCCCACAAACGTGAATCAGCACTGACAAAGGCACTTGAATCACAGCAGAAACAGGTGAGTAATCTTGCCTTCCACCATCTTGCATTGCTAATACCTCTGGCATTAGTACTGGGGGGGCAAAGGACACCCCAGGGTCATGAAGGAAAAAGGCAGTGACTTGAAGATTCTGGTGAGGTTGACACTGGACAAAGGCCATGCTATTTACCTCTGATCTAAAGGAACAGTGGAATGGTGACAGTTTCTAGGGGAGAGTTTCACCAGGTGAGAGCAGGTACCTGTGAGAACAGGTACCTGGGATCTGAACGCTTATGAGCCTGGAGGAGGTGATCTATTGGAAAAGCTGCACTTGCCTATGTGTGTCCTTGTAGCATCCCAGGCAAAACAATCCTGAGGTAGAGGATTTTCACCCTTGAACACACCAACCTCTGCCTTTCTTTTGAAGAGAGAAGCCCAAAGCTATTTTTAATGTACATACATTTTAGAATTCCATCCCCACCACTAGGGAAGGCAAAGATTTAACCATATAGCCTGGATCATACTGGGGATTCCTAATTAGGCAATGCAATTAGTGCTCACCTGTACTTTTTTCTATTGTGTCATCATCTCTTCTCAGGAGACCCCAGTCTTGTGTTCACTATTTTTAGTTTCCTCGATAAGTGTAATATAAAAGAACTGTTTCCAGGTTTTCCTTTTTTAATGAGAGATACCACATTCCCCAGAATTTCACAGGGGGCTGAAATTTAGGAGAAAGAATATGAAGCACACCTGTCTGTATAAAGCCTCTCATATGGAGAGCTCCTGTGTGCTAGTGTGGGACTAAGAGTAGGCTGACTTCATCACAGCTTTCGCATTTTGTACGTCTGTCTTGTCCAATCTTATTTTTATTCATATTTTTCTGCAATAAGACATTTTTCAATAATTCTATGTTATTGATCAAACCAAGCTTATATCTCAACTGCCTTAAAAAATGCAATCCAGCACTGGAATTTAAAAATAATGACATCTTTCTGCTAGCTTTATTTTGAGCTTCATCCAATTTAACTATGCCATGGCTCCTTACAGTTCTATTTCAGAGATATTTACTTAATCTATTAATTCAGGGGTTTTTGCAATTTCAGAGTAAGATTCTGAATAATCATCAGTGTACTTCAGTATAATGTGGCTGCCATGTTCTGCAAGATGTGTAACGAATTAGTACATGTAATTGTAAATAGTAGAGATGATTATAAATAGTAATGGAAAATAACAAAATACATTAAAAAACAAGTAGAGGCTTAATAAAATGTTAATGACAGTGGATAATTAAAATAATTAATTTACTTATTTATATAAATTGATATAAATAGATCATATTTTATCTTTGCACTGTCTTCAGTTATAATTTTTTATTATAAAATTGATTATTTTTTGTTTCCCACTTCAACACCATATGAACAATATTAAATAGTGATCTGCTCTAGAAAAATTTGGTGGCTTCAACACCCCAAGTCCTCCTCAGGATGGCAGATGTTGTCTGGCCAGGTTCTCCTTCCCAGGGGCCCACTAGTTAACAGGGACAGACCTCCTCCAGAAGGTGATTCAGAGAATGACTTTAGCTGAGGTACACTGCACTTTTCCTCAAATTTGCTTTTCTTTTGCACAAGTCCCTACTTCCATTTACTCCTGTTGTTAGACAGCTGGTAACCCAATGAGTTTGCATTGCAGTACTCAAGCTTGCACAAAGAATGATTGCTCCTAGTAAATGAAATGCTCATTTGCCCTGGTTTTCTCACAGTGATAATTGTATCTAATTTTATTGCTTTGCTGGTGAAAACCATAGCATAGGACCTTTCCCTTTGTAAATGAATTATTAGCCAGCAGGAAAAATCAGTTGTGCATTGCTCAGGATCACTAAGCTCCTCAAATAAGGCCCGAAATTTTGAGCTACAGAAATGTTTTCACTTGTCTTTTAAATGAGTATGTTTGAGCATGTGTGTAAATAGTTTTTGGGTTTTGGGATTTCTTTTTTCTCCTTTGCAGACATATTTCATGGTAAGGCTCACTCAGCAGAAGCATTTCTCTCTCTTACATATGTCTCATGCTTTCACTTTTACTGGAAGCAGTGAGGAGTGCAAAAATTCAGGTCAGACTCTTGTAAGGAGGAAATTAATTCAAAAATGCCACTATGTCTATGTAAGATATTGTGATTCAAGAAAATTTCAGCTCTGGAAAGTCAACATCTAACATAATTTCATCCTTCATTGAGAAGTCTGCCACATGATGAAATTACAAGGAAGAATGACACACAGAGAAATTAACAGCATTATATTTAGTAACAGACAAGTTATAGAATGTGAATTTTTTTTATATGACTGAAGGACTATTATATTCTGGAAGAGACCATTCCTTTTCTTACCAATTAGAAAAATTCTTTCTGTTGCTTATTTCTACCATGCAATAAAACCCCCTACGTGCTTCATAAGTCTGAAGTCTCAACCGGTTGCTCATAATAAATGCCTTTTTCATGGCAATGCCATTACAGGAATGACTGTAAAGATTTTGTTTATGAGATGCCATCCTTGTTAGTCTCAGGTTTCTTAGGATTTTGGGTGGGTTGTGAGGGGTTTTTTGGGGGGGTGGTTAGCAGGGCTGGGTTTGGGTGGGGGTTTGTTGATTTGGTTATTGTTGGACTTTTGGTTTTTGTTTTCTGTGCTGTTTTTTTTTTTTTTTTTTTTTTTTTTTGGAGGGGTCAGCTTCTTAACTTGGGCACAGATGTGGGACTTGAGCAGATGTTGACAGTTCAGAAGGAAATCCTGGTACTCTCTGATGATACAGTTTGTGTAGTTTTGGCAGCTACTGCCACCCTATGGTTTTCCATAATGGATTAATGCTGCAGAGCTTTAATGTATTGAATTTCTCCAAAAACCTCTTATAGGTCAGAGAGAAGACAACGAATATTCCTTTTGTCTTACTCACTCCTTCTCTGTCCCCTTTTCAGAAAAATCCTAACTACAAAGAAAATCAAGGATGGCACGAGAGGCCATAGGTGGCATTAGGATAGTAGAATCTTTTCCACTGCACTTACAACTATGTAATTGAATATTAATTTTGGTTCCAAGGGTTTTCACTAACTGATTATATCTGCTTTGGCAGGATAGATTTTACTCCTTTTTTTTTAGGAACTTCAAAACGTACATCTGGAGAAAGCTTCCAAAACCCATTTCTTAAAGTTGCTGCTACTTTGGGTGCCTGTGTTTATATCATGGATGCCACATATAGACAGATCTGGGTTAAAGCAATCTGGTCTAAGCAGAGTGTCCTCAGAGCATTGCTTCCAGCAGAGCTTTGCCCTCCAGACGCCAGCAAGTGCCCAGCCGAAGGCTCTGATGCAGAAAGAGGATGTTTCAGATACCATTATTCCACTCATTGCCCTCCTTCAGGCCAGGGAATACCCTGTACGTGGAGGAAGACTTTTTTCTTTTTCTTTTGAGAAAGCGGGAAGAGGGATCACCTCTCATGTTGTATATCTTCTCTTTGGGACTGGAAGCTTCTTTCCCTTTGACCAACTCATATGAAACCAGGCAGCAGTGTAGGCTGTAGAAAACAACTCAGCTGGCTTGGAGGCAGAGATCTGGGACTCTCTCATATATTATAGCGCACGGGCACTGGTTTTCCCCATATTAGTGGGGACTCTCAAGTTCCATCCTCTCTGCCACACCCAACCTCACACCTATGCAGCGCACAAAGTCTGAAGTGCACCCACTGCTCTTTATTTTTCTTAGCCGACATGGAAACTGGATGCCCTCTCCTTAAGCCAGATCCCCAAACCCCGCTGCCGGCCGGCGCAAGAGCTGGCTCTGGGGCTCCCCCGAGTCGGGGGCTCCCCCAAACCCCGCCGCCGCCGCGGTGCCCCGGCCCCCCGCCTTCCCTGCCCCGCCCGCCGGGGCTCTGCGGGCGCTCCGTGACCCTCTCCTGTGGGCCGAGCAGCTCCTCTCCGCAGCCACCTGTAGCTACGGCTGATTTTTCTGCATTTCTCCGAAAAAGAGCTATTCTCAGCCCGGCTCCCTTCCCGCGTGTTTTACTTAAGTGAACCAAATGTCCATGCATCAGGAGCGGAGGTGGTGTCTTTTTCGGAAAGATGCAGCGCCTGTTTTTCCTGTCGCCTCCCCGCGCCCCCCAGGCTGGTAGCGCGGGACCGGAGGGGTGTGTAGGGCTGGCTCGGCGGCCCCTGCCCCCGCCCCGGGGCGGAGCTGCGGCCCCAAATGAGGTACGATTTCACCTTGGGGTTCGTCTTCCTGGAGCGCCGCTGGGATTACGGCCGTGCCGGTCCCCGCTCATGGCTCTGCGCTCCGCCGGTGGTCCCCGCTCCCAGCCCCGACGTGGAACGGCCGCATCCCCCCTGTAAAATGAGGGGAGCGGGATCTCCGCGCGGGCGGCGGGAGCCGCTGTTACGCCTGTCGGAGTTGAGCATGGAGGGAGGTGAAACAGCCACCTGAAGGCGGAGAAACACCCGAAGCGACAACAAGTAGTCTCGCCAGGCAGGGCGGCACGGAGCGCGGCTGGGGCCGGAGCCCGCCCCGGAGCAGAAGCCGCTGTCGCTGCTCCGGCAAAGGTAGCGGCCGGGCGGCGGGAGGGAGCCGGGGCTGGCGGGGAGCGGGAGGCACCCGCGGCGGCGCTGATCCCACCTGCCCTTCCCCGAGATGCGCGCTCGCCTTCGTGATTTGTCTGAGAAAGTAGAGAGCCGAGCTCCACACAGATAGCTTTTCCTAGAGTATGCCTGCTGCCTGCGCTGATGGGGTGCTCTGTATTTCTTCCCAAAAAGCAACCCTTTCCTTCCTGCCACAGTGGGGGTGGGGAGGAAGAGAAAAAATATCTAAGTCTTCTTTTTTCCCCCTCGTTAAGCTGTTAGGACAATAAAAGATAGATGCCCATTAAATAATTAACCGTACACTTTATGTTCCATCAGCTCGGTTCACACAGCTCCGCGAGGGAGAAGGGGGTGGGGACGGTGGCGGATCCATACGGGGTCGAAGCGGCAGCAGTGCCATTTCGGTAGCCTGCTTCCAGGGGAAGCGGGAGACAGCCCGGAGCTGTGCCCGGAGCGGGCAGGCGGCACAGCCCTTCGCGGAGGAGCGTGCGGAGCTGGCCGGCGGTGGGTGGTGGGGCGGGCCAGGAGGGCTCTCCCCTGAGTGCGGGTCCGCGGGAGATCTTGGGAGGGGTCCGGGACAGGCCGTGACCGCGGGGAACGGTCCTCCTACGGTGGTGCTTGTGGGGCTTCTCCTCGATTTCTTCTGTTTGCGTTTAAGGCAGAAGCTCGTTCCCCACGGACCTCCCGGCGATCGGCTGCCCCCCGCCCAGCGACCGGCGCGCCCCCCTCCCGATCCCCGCCGCCGCCTCCCGCGCTCTCCCCAGTCATGTCCCACCCGGAGCGATGGGGAAGCTCGAGGACAACGAGAGGGTGATCCTCAACGTGGGGGGCACGCGGCACGAGACCTACCGCAGCACCCTGAAGACCCTGCCGGGGACCCGCCTGGCTCTGCTCGCCTGCGAGTCCCAGAGCGAGTCCCCGGGCGGCGAGGAGCCGCCGCCGCCCCCCAACCCGCCGCCGCCTCCGGCGGGCGGCTGCCCCGAGCCCGGCAGCGGCTGCAGCCCCCGGGGCAGCGGCGGCGCCAGCGAGTTTTTCTTCGACCGGCACCCGGGGGTCTTCGCCTATGTACTCAACTACTACCGCACCGGCAAGCTGCACTGCCCCGCCGACGTCTGCGGGCCGCTCTTCGAGGAGGAGCTGGCCTTTTGGGGCATCGACGAGACCGACGTGGAGCCCTGCTGCTGGATGACCTACCGCCAGCACCGCGACGCCGAGGAGGCCCTCGACATCTTCGAGGCACCCGACCTGCTGACGGGCGAGCCGCCCCCCGACGGCGACGACGACGACTTGGCCGCCAAGAGACTGGGCATCGAGGACGTGGGGGCGGCCGCCGAGGGCAAGGGCGGGCGCTGGCGGCGGCTGCAGCCCCGTGTCTGGGCGCTCTTCGAGGACCCTTACTCCTCCCGTGCCGCCAGGGTAAGCGCCGCCGGCCGGCGCTCCCAGCGGGCGCTGGGGACGCCGAGGGGCTGCTGGGGTCCCCGAGCGGGAGCCGGCATCACGGGGAAGCGAGCCCCGCTTGGGGTGTGCCTGAAGAAGTGATGCTTTGGTGGGCCACTGCAAGGGGCGACATCGGTCCACGGGGGGTGGCGGTGCTTGTCCCCTGCACATCTGCAGGCAGTGCCAGGCAGCACGGGGGTCCCGCTGCCATCCTTCCCGTGGGAGTGTACGGGGGTGAGGTGGGAGCTGTGCCCCGAAAAGCCTGCAAGGGAGCCATAATCAATCCCTGGACTGTGTGTGGAGGGGGTGACTCACTGGTGGACCTCTTTGTGTGTGGGTGTGAGCAGGAACAGCCCCAAGGCGCCCTCATACTCCCTGAGCGCCTGCATGAATGTGTATTTGGGGCCAGGGCAGCTGGTCTGAGGTCTCAGATTTGGGGTCAGGTGGTGACAGTGACACAGAAGAGCGACCTCAGTCCGTTCTGGGCTTTGCTCTGTCTGCACTGGTAGGTGATCCCTGTTCAACAAAGTAAATGTGACAGGGAGTCACCCTGGCTCATCCTCCGTTGATTTCTCAGGGTGACCCTGGCGGGCTCAGTGACTGAGGGACTGGGGACAAGACAGTAAGTGATCATACCGACTTCCTTTTACTTACATAGGGATTTTAGGTTTTTATGCTCACTACTTTATACTTTGATGAGTTGGATTTTAGTTCTGTCTTTTCATTGCAGTTGTCAGTGGTGATGAGGGTTCGCTTTCTAACTCAGGGCTTTGGAGCAAACAAATGGTTGTAATTCCTTTGAGAGAAATATGCAGTGGTGTCTCTAATTTAACCAGAACAGCAACCACCAGCAAATCCTCCCTGCAATACAAAACAAAGGACTTGTAACAGGAAATGCTTGATTATAAAATGGCAATAAGTATTTTGTGGCATCTTTATCAGGATTTCCACAAAGTATTCAGAGCTGAACCTCATTCTGCAGAAAGTGAGGTTATGGTGGGTGTAATCTCCTAATCAGTTCCACTGATCCTGCTGGCAGTCTCACAGATGTGCACTTAAGTGTATAGTTTAGTGACTTCTGGGATTGTACCCCATGGCATGATGCAGTTTCTGCCCGCTCACCCTATGAGCTTATTGAGGTAAGTTAAACAGAAAGTAAAACATACAAAATAAAGTAAATCACACTTACTACTGTCACTTACTGAGTGCCAACATTGTTTATGTTTTTGAAGGTTGCCTACCAGTATGTTTTCCCTCAACACCTGGCTCCAGTTGATTCTTAAAGTATGTTTTTAATAAAGAATGGGTTCTGAAGAAAAGCTAGAGAAGTGTCTATCTTTGCTCCTCAGTGACATACCCACATCTCACATCTCAGCTGTTGGGATCCTAAAGGAAATTTGGCTGTCAGTTACCTGACAGACTGTAGTGTGTGCAGTGATTGCCCTGCAGGTCTTCTTTCCCTGACTGTCTTGTGGAAAGTTGCTGACAGTGTCAAAACTGCAGCTTTTATGACAGAGAATCTTCATGCTCAACTTTGCTGGGGAACTGAGGAGTACGGAGTAAATGTTAGATGGAAGATACCAAGAGAAGTAGGAAGGTAGGCATGCTGTTGTGCCTTGGAGTTGAAGTTGGGTTTTCAGTCCAGTCTTTGACAGAAGCTGTAGGCACTTACATTGCAAATTTTCCATCTGTACTGGGTCATCCTGAACTATTAGTAGCTTGGGTGAAGATATTTCAAGTTTGCAAAATGAATACTGTAATTAACACTGTAGTAGGAAATTGCAGCATGGCAATATTAATCTTTTAGAAGATGGAGTATTTACCTTTTAATAACTTAACTGGTTTTAAAGACTTTATTCTGATTTCAAACCCAGGCAGCCAGAATAAGGCAGTGTCAGAACCATAACATTGTCTAAATCTGTATTTTCATTTTCTGAAGAGCTATACTTGATCTTTCAGGTAGGGAGGCAACTTCAAGAATTTCTGGTGAGTTTTAAAGCATTAAAGTGAATTTGTATTTAAAGAGTCGCATGCACTGAGTAAGCACTCTTGAACACAGTAATTTAAGCTGATGGTAACCTTAGTTTGGAACCGAGACATTATGTTTTTCCACGCCTGAAACAAGAACCCTTATTTTCTCAGTATTCTGGCAAATGCACTCTTGTTTTATGTCAGCTGAGATGATGACTAACTCTAAAAACATTTGAGTGAAATCAAGACAAAACTCTGCGAACATCAGTCTTTGCCTCACAGTGTTAGTTACTGACTCATACACCGCTGAGATTATGGTGGGGCTGCTTAGTGATAAACTTTCCTAAGAACTGTGGTAATTATTTTCTTATAGCATTACTGATTTAGGTTCACTAGTGTCTTTTTTGGGAATTATGATGCTGATAAAAATGGGATATTTTCTGTTAATGAAATGGTACTTAATATCTGTGATTTTCTTTATTCGAAACTGTGATCTCTAAAAATAGAAATTTATAGAAATTCAAATATAAGTTGCCATGGTAACCTCTTTGGGGATAGTGCACGCACAAGATTATTCTAGCAAGACCATTCAGTGATGTTATATAAATAGTGGAACTAGTTTGTTGACAAGAAGGTTTACTTTAGCTGAGATTCTAAAAAATGCAACTTTTCGTACATGCAATTTGATAGCCAGATAGCGACATCTACTAAACATGGGACTTCTAAATATGAAATATAATCCATGTATATATGAATGCTTTGAAATCTGCAACACTTCCCTTTGTTTCCCAAGTTCAGGAGTTAGGTCTGAGTGTCATTTCTGTCTTCATATTACCATTTTGGATTTCATAGACCGTGAAATGAAATTAAAGAGTGCAGCCGTACTCCTTTCACTCCACGCATAATAGAATGATCATTCACAAAAGGCTGTTTGACACAATGCTGTTAATGTAGATATGGAAATCTACTGGCATAAGGTGCTGTCATAGGAGGAGGAGCGCTGGGCGACTGAATCTTTGTGCGTTGGTTTAAACCTCTCTGAAACAGACACCTAATTCTTATCTGACTAAAACCTGTGCACTGTTTTGTTGGTTAATGTCTGTAAGTGATTTTGGTGTCCAGTGGCTCCTAAGTGCCAGATATTTGTTTGCTTTAGTAAAGTGCAAAGATAGATCTAAGTAGTTTGTAAGAAAGCACAAGAGGCAATATTAAGTGCTGAGTTCAAAAAGTGTCTGCAGATGTCTAGCAGGACCTGGAATGCCAGTGCTCATCCCAGATATCATATTTCAAAGTAATTACCTCTAAAGCCTTTTTACTTTTGAATAATAGTTGAAAAATGATGCTGTTTAAAGAAGTAATTAGTATTTGTCATTGGTTTTTCCTAAGGATTACTCCTGTACTGAGTGCAGGAATGCAAAAATGACCCTGAAATTCATCAAGTCCATAGCTATATATCCTTAATGTTTTGGGAAGACTGTAAATTTGTTCGTGGGTAAGGGGCACCACCTGCCACGTGGGGTAGTTAAGCAGTGCAGGAGTCAGCATGGCCCAGGACACTTGAGCTGGCACTGCTGTTCGTAGCAGCTGAAGGCAACTTACACAGCCCCTTTGCTATGGTTTTTATCTCTAGGAAAGATCATCATTACTTGGTTTACAAGGAAATATAAATCCTAATTAGCAAGTATTTGTCAAGTTTGCTGTAAGTAAATATTCACTGCAATGCAAATAAACCTTGCACAAAATGCAAACTGCACAAAAACCTTGCAGTCGAGGCATCAAGATACATCCTGCAAGTACTCTTAAAAATACTGATGCTGCTTCATCATGATATTGGGGGGGAGCTGTATTTGAGCAGTATGGGTATTTTTGGAGGGATACTCTTAAAAATACTGATGCTGCTTCATCATGATATTGGGGGGGGAGCTGTATTTGAGCAGTGGGTGATATTTTTGGAGGGAAAAAATATCACTCCCCTGTACTGCTTTATATGATGTTAAATTGTCAGAGATTCCTTTCAGTCACCCATTGCATCTAGCTTTGGACATTCAGTGAGGTGAAGAATCAGCTGAAATGAGTGGGATGGGAGAGGGGAAAAATATGATTTTATAGATTCCCTCGAGAGGCTAAAGATGCAGAAATTATGTTGGAGAGCATTCTTAACAAAGATAACTTATGTCTTTATTTGGTGGCTTGCTTATGTTTTCTCCAGGTACCTAGATACCTGTTTTGATACCTGTCAAGAAAGCCTTGATTTAGGAAGCCTGTCATGTACTACGGTGAATGACTGAAGTGAGTTATATTTTTAGGGCTTTGTCTGTTCTGATGCAAGACAGGTTTTATTTTTGGTGGAAATAACACTGCTGCATCAGTCTGAAATACTGTGAATGGAGTGATGGAGGTACATTGATCTCAGAGTATATGTTTGTAGATTAATAGTGAATAGCAAAGGTTAGCTTTTTAACTGATAGGAAGCCCTTTAACACATAAATGTAAATCTTTACTCTGTCTTTTATTCAACAAGGAAAGCAGGCATACTTCAGATTTTACCATTCAATTATTAGTTAGGCAGACATCTGTCTGAAAATGGCACAAAGAAAATAGTTAAGGTTGATGCTTCAAAGAGGGTATTCCTTTTGTTGGTAATCAAAGCACTGGATTTAATTATATGTGGGAAATAGTCAATTACATGGAATTAGTGAGAAGCAGTCATTCTGCTTGAAGCATTTATGCCATGTGAGGTGTCTTTTTTAAGGACACATCAAGATGTGTTTCTAATGACAAAAGTCATAGTGCATTACTATTACAGATATTCATACACTCTGTAGCTTCATGCATACATGGGCTGCCTAAATCGCATTGTAAGTAATTTTTATTAATTTACTTTTGGCATGCTGGCTTTTAAAGGTCCTGATTGGAAATTCTAGCTTAATACATGACGTATAATCCACTAGCTTGATCTACCCTAAGTGTAGATGGTTTCTGATGGTACTGACATCAGTGAGGTAAAA